TACAGCAAGTTCTCGGGGCTGCAGCCACTGCACCCTTCTCAGCCCGTCTCCACCGCCCAGGCCACCTGCTGCAACACGGTCAGGCGTCGGAGCCCCCGGCCCCAACCACGTCTGGGGAAGGGCTGGCTGAGGGCTGATGACAGTGACTCTGTACTTGGACAGCTTCGCCCAGCCACTGACCACCCCTCCGTCCTCTGTCCACCCCGGGGGGCCCGGCCCACCTGGGGAAGAAGACGCCCCTCCTCAGCATTTATTTCCGGACTTCCAGCCCCTTCCTTAACTTCTGAAATGAAACCCCATTTGTGAGAGCTGCTCTGAGACTCAGTCACGGCCTGGGGCAAAGCAGCCCCGAGCCTCACGGCCGCTCTTCTTTAAGGGGCAGGGCCCAACACTGTGCAGGGACTCCGGGGCTCACGCCTGTGAGGCTCCTTTGTGGGCTCTGCTTTCCTGGGGGCAGCTTCCTGGAAGGCTCCAGGCTCCAGGTCCCCAACTCAGACAGGCAGGAGGCAGAGGGGGAAGGGAAGGGCAGGAGAGGCCGGCGGAAGGGCCCCCACCCCCCACCACAGTCCTCCTTGCAGCTGGGAACACAAGGTGTCCACAGAGCTTCACTTTTCTGGGCTGCTTCCGCCAGTGCCTCTGAGGTGGCCATGATCTCAGGCCAGGTTCCCTCCAAAGTCTCAGAGTCTGGAGTCTGGGCCTGGAGACACCCCTTCCGGCGTCCACTGTCAGCACGAGAACGGCTCACGACAGGAAGGCGCACATGTCAACCTTGGTCCTTCAAACCTGGCACAACGCCAGCTTCTGGGTGAAGGGAGCCTGCCTCAGCAGCAGACAGGGCCCAAGGTCTCCTGGGGGCCACCAGCCACCTTCAAGGGCTCGCTGGGGAGGCTCTGCTCCCCGCTCTGTCTGCTGGGTGTCTCCTGGGATGAGCTCCTGGGGGCTCTGGTGGCATTGGCCCGGACAGAGAGGTGATCCCAGCCCCCCTGGAAGGAAAAATCGGAGTCACCTGGGACCACCAGGGGTCCAGGGGCTCTGACAGGGCCTCCCATCAGGTCCCCACTGAGACAGCCGTTGGCCTGGAGCCCTAAGCCAGCACCGCTGCCCCGTGCCCAGCCCTGCTCACCCCGATGCCGTAGTCCCAGCCCTGCCCCTTGGGCTCACGGGGCTGCACGCCTATGCGGTGACATACGGTTCCCCGGCTCAGGCTGCGACTTCCCTGGACTTTGTTGGCGATGACCCAGACCTGGAACGCAGACCCCTTGAAGGTCTGGCCCCCCCGCCACAGGGGGATCATGGGGACAGCAGTGGGGGAGACCAGAGCAGAACCCGGATCGCCCCGAGTCCCTGACCCCAGAGCCAGCATCCAACCTCCACCCACTTCTCCCCAGACCTGGTCCAGGGGCCCCACGGACACGCGGCGCACGTTGTTGGACACATGCTCCCAGCTGGATCCCTGCGGGTAACTGGGCGTGACCCCCTGGCGGTACCACAGGTTCCCTAGGAGAGAACGGCAAGTGACATGAGGCTCTGAGCACCAGGACCTGGCTCAGGGTCTGCAAGGCCCGGAGATCTGAACGCACTGCCCGGGGCTCTCGCCGACCCAGTTCTGCCATTGCCCCTCCCTCCACCTGGCTTCATCGCTGCCCCCGTGCTGGGCTGGCATCCTCATCTTCTTTTCACGCGTGAGAAACTGAGAACAAGGAATTCTTTAAAGAAATAGAGACCAGGTCTGGAATAAAAGGCCTGGGTTCCAGGCCCAAGTCCGCCCTTTCCTGGCCTTGCTCCTCTGTGACGGCCACAGACCAGGAAGGGGCACCCAGAGCCTGCCTGAGGTGGCGGGGGTGGTCAGGGACGGCCCAGCCAGGCAGATGGCCTCTGCCAAACCCGGCTGTGGGCTCCCAAGTCACAGGCCTGGGTGGCACCTTCCGGAAGATGCTCCCAGGGCAGGCCTCACCACGCAGTGTCACCCCGGCCTCGGTACTGTGCCCTCTGCCCAAGGCCGAGGCAGACCTGGGCACCTGGGGCGGGCTGGTGCCCCACACCCGGCATGACTTGGGGGAGGGGCCTATTTGGAGGCTGACCTCGGGCTGGCGGCCTCTCGTGGGGCTTGTGAAAGTCTCCTGTCAGGCACCTGGGGTGGGCAAGGGTCTTATCCCACTGGGACGCTAACCCAAACCCACCCTGGTGACCACGGGGGATCAGAAACCACTTGCCGTTTTCATCCAAGGCGAACACTGCCGTGTGCCCCACGGACACCTGTGTCAGTCTCTGTTTGGGAGGAGATGGGATGTGGTACCAGCAATCACCTGTGACGGGAGACTGGGTTTGGGATCCAACCCGGAAACACCAAACCTGTCACCCAGGTGCCCCTGGAGCACGTGGTCCCCTCTGCAGCTTGCAGGGTTGGGAGGGAGCAGATGGCCTTTGTCCCCAGACCAGCTGGACCACATGTGCAAGAAGGCCCAGTGGGGGCCGACCCGTGCCCTGCCTGGGGCCCTCCTGAGGCCGTGGCAGCTTCAGATGGTGGGTCCAGAGGGACTGAATCCTGAACAGGGAGAGGAAGGGGCCTGGCCCAATATGTGGTGGAGAGCCAGCCTCGGAGCCACTGTGCGATGCGCCACCTCTCTGTCCAGACCTCCAGCCAAGAACAAGCCAGCACGGCAGGAGGGCAGCCAGGGCGGACGCTGTGGATGGGCCGCCTGGGGAGCCCCAGGCCTGTCCCCAGGGTGTCGAGGACAGGAAAGGGCAGCCCCACCGCCAGGGCACTGCACCCCCAACACCGTTGGTCCCAGTGCAGGAGGCCAGCCTCGCGGGGGAGCCCAGCTTGGTCCCCGCGCCTGGTCCACAGGTGGTGCTCAGTAAGTGTTTGTTGAACTAAACGGAAAATCATGAGTGCCATCAACCAGCTTCCTGGGAAGCGGAGACACCTGCACCTTCACTTGGCCTGGCCCAGCTGCCTCTTGGCCCCTGTCACAACTCCGCGGTGGCAGGTAGGCATCCTCCCGAGGGGTAGCACTCACCAGCCGGCTGGGAGGGGGACACGGAGCCGCGGTAGAAGGCGGACCCGTCCCTTGCCACGGCCCACACCTGGTAGCAGGCCCCAATGGAGACGGAGGCGAAGGGCTGGTCGGTGCCCACATGCAGCCAGGAGGAGCCCTGGGGGCGGGGGAGGGGCACTCAGGGCCTGCCGCGACCGGGAGCTGGCGGCTCCCCACACCCACCTCAGTCTCAGTCCCAACTGCCCACAGGGCCTGAAGACCCCCTTGGGCCACATGCGGTGCCCACAAGTCCCAGGGACCATCCTGGGCAGGCCAGGGAGGCCTGAGCCCAGCCTGACTCCACTGAAGGGTCCTATTTTGGGAAGAATCCACTAGGGCCCCAAGAGGGCTGGCAGAATGGGCAGGCCCGGCACCCCTGGAAACAAGGTGCTCACAGCAGGGTTGAGCTCGGACACGCCCAGACGGCACAGCACGTCCCCCTTGTCACTGACGGCCCAGAGCGCGATGCTGGGCCCACTCCCGTTGGCGCCGGGGCTCTCCGGGATGATGGACACGTCTCCGAGGGCGATGGGGGCCACCTCCAGCCAGGGCCCGCTGGTCACCAGCTTGCATTTTCTGCTGGGCAGAGAGAGAGCAGAGTCCTGGGCACCCTGATGCTAAGTGAGCCTCAGGGCCACCTGTGCTGGACAGAAGGGAGCTGCCAGGCCCTGGGCCCTGGGCCCTGGGGAGGGGGTCGACGAGCCCGCGAGCACCAGGGGGGCACCAGCCTCCACACCCTCAGCCTCTGCCCTGCCCCCACCCCTGGCCAGGCCTCCCCTCCCCTCCCCTCCCGTCCTGCAGGTCCTCTGACAAGCAGAGCCTGCCAATGACATTTCTCTTATTTGTTCTTGAAAACAAACTCTTCAGAAACAGCACTGGGAGCCCGAGGGCACTTCCTGGGCTGACATTTACTTTGATCCTGGGCTCTCCTCCCCAGAAACCTCCCCTTCTCTCCACAGGAACTGAGGTCCAGGCAGGGAGGTCTGGCCCAGGCCACACCCCACCCCCTGTACCTCCCTCCATACCTGGCCCAGCACCTCCTCCTGACAAAATCCTTCATGGTTTTGTACCCGTGGTAGGAGCTGTAAGAGGAAGAAGCAGAAACTGAGACCATCTTGTGGAAGTTTCTGGAAAGTGACATTCTCTCCGCATGCGTTACAGAGCTTGGTGTGAACTGTGGAGTGGGCTCAGGGCAACAGGTAACCGCAGGACACCATCCCCCTCCTCAGATTTCTCTAGCTCTGTCTGGGCCTCCCAGGGGCCAGGGCCTCCCGGGGGCTGGGGTCTCCCTGGGGCAGGGACCTCGGTGGGGCCAGGATATAGCCATTTCTAGCTAAGGGTCCTCTGAGCCCTCCCTACTCCAGGCCCCATCAGAGCTCTTCTGGGGAGCAGTCGGGCTCGGGGCCTGAGGCTGAAGGGGAGGACCCGTCCAGGAGCCCCCATGAGCCTAGGTCTGCTTAGAAGATGTGGCCTGGGCCCCGGCCTGGGCCCTGGCTCGGACTCTGCCCTCCATCTGGACGTGATTCGTGTTCCATGAAGGGCCCACCCTGCTGATACCGTGCACCCGATGCCAGGGCCCCCATCTTCGCTGGCTTGTCCCTTACCCTTCCTTTTACAGAAGGTCCCAACACACTGGGTCTCCTGCCTCCCAGGGTGGCCTGGCCTCACTCCATGTCGCCCCTCCACCCTGACACTCTCCCTGGTGTTGGGAGACCCCTGCCCATCACCTGGGGCCTGGCCGAAGAGTCCCCCGAAACCACCCTGACTCTGGCACCCAAGTCACCTCAGGCTTCCTTGAGCCCCCAGCGCAAGGCACCAGATTCCCTGGCCTCCCAGAACCCATGCCCAGCACAGCGCAGGCACACCTGGGTGCTGAGGGGCCGTGCGCTCCTCCCTCAGCCCACCCCCACCGGCCAGGTGTGCGGGCTCAACCTCACCTGGGCCCCCCACACCTCTCCAGCGGAGGCGGGCACACAGGGGCCTGCTCCTCGGTGCTTGTGGAGGCCGGAGATGCCCAGGGCTGCGGGGCAGGGGCAGGGGCTCTGCTGGCTGACCAGGCCTGCAGCTCGGGGCCCCCACCCCGAGGCCCCCTCCCCCTACAGACAGAGATACTTACGCAGGGAAGTCACTGGCGTACTGCCACCCCTCCTGGTCAGTGCCCCCAGAAACGCTGAAATCCACGAACCAGTCAGAAACCTGGGGGAGGGGCGGGTCAGTGCGGGGCCTCCCCCTACTGCAGCCCCCCTTCCCCCACCCGGAGCTCACCCAGGTCCACTGCAGGGACGGGGGCTTCGTGCTGGTCTTGGTGCACTCCTGCAGCCCCGTGGCGTCACTCCACATGTACCGGTCAGTGGGCAGACCCCTGGGCAGGACAACAGGGTGAGGTGAGGGGTGAGGTGACACCAGAGAGAGGAGGCAATAAGCCTGCCCCGCCCAAGCTCCTGGGACATCTGCATCTCCGGAGGGGTGAGGGGCGGAGCCAGAAGTGCCCAGGGATGGGGACGGCCACTGGCTGACCCACATCACGCAGGCCCGGCCTACAAGCACAGCCGGGCCTCCCACACGAGGGCTGTGGCACGTTGTGTGGTCCGGGACCCCTCCCATCTTTCTCTTGTGACCTGAAAAGACACGGAGCCCTAACCCCAGTACCTGGGAGTGTGACCTTATTTGGAAATAGAGTCTTTGCAGACGATCAAATTGAGATGAGACCATCACTGGAGTGAAGGGGCCTAACCGTCCTTACGGAGAAGGGACACTTGAACCCAGGTTTCCCAAATTGGGGAGACGACGTGAAGACACACGGAGAAGGACATGTGACAACGGGAGTGACGCTGCCACCAGCTGAGGGAGTCCCAAGGCCACTGGAAGCCAGGAGCAAGGCCAGAAAAGATCCTCGCTCACAGCCCTCAAAAGGCAGTCACCCCGCTGACACCTGCTCTCAGGCCTCGTGGCCTCCCCACTGTTTGAGCCGCTCGGCCCGTGGGGTTTTGTCACAGTGGCTCTCGCTGACTGATACACTCGCGGCAGGCTCCGGGTGGCCGTGGCCCTGGGGCGGCTGCCCTCTCTGTGTGGGCTGGGGAGCCCGGGCCGCCTTCCCTCTGCCAAGGACCAAGCAGGGAGTGAGGAGGACGGGGAGATGAAGTGCGCCAGCCTCCCGTGTGGGTCCTAGCTACTCACAGCCGATTCGGAAACTTCCAGAACACATGTAGGCAACATGTATCAGCTGCCTTAGAAGAGCTCAAACCCTGATTTGCTGGGGTGAACAGAGAGAGTCACAAATATTTACACACAAGGAAATCCTTTAACGACAGGGAAAGATCACCCGCGGTCTACACGTCCGAGACTGAGGAGAGAGGTCAGAGAGGCCGGGCCCACCCTCAGAGACTGAGCTGGGAGGCCAGCACAGGGCATCTTTATGTGCCTGACTCTGCCCGCCTCCCGCCGGCACACGCCCGTGTGCAGCGATGGGCCAGAGGACATGGACCAGAATGCTAATAGCGGTTACTATCTCTGGTTGGTGTGATTCGAGTTGATCCTTCACGTTATTTGGTATTTCTTTTTTTCATCAATTTTGAAAGACCCACAAAAGGAAATTTAAAAGTTTGTGCCATTTATCATACACCAAAAATGTGAAATACCATTTATAAAAAATGTCAAGACCCCTATAGAGAAAATCACAAGAACTTATTAAGTGGAAATTAAAGATCTACATAAATGGAGGTATAAATTGTGTCCAGATTTTGAAGATTTAGGATTGTGATGTAAGGTTTCTACCCAAATCAATACAGATCCAAAGCCATCCTGACCAAGACCCCAGTGCCTTTTGAAGACTGCCTCTGAAACTCACCTAGAAATGATCCTGAAATAGCTAAAGCTGGATGAAGAAGATGAGAAGCTTTGACAGCCAGCCATGACAACTTCCCATAGAGGGGTGGCAGCTGGAACAGCACAAGGATGCCCAGTGGCACACGGAAGAGAAGGGCTTGGGAACAGCCACTGCCCACGTGGACACTTAAGACAAAGGTGGCCATTGTGATGCAATGGGGAAGGACAGTCTTTTCAAAAAATGGTGTGGGTCCCTGGACTGTGAAAACCCAACAGCACCTGACTCCTACCAAATGGGACTATGTAACAGAGGGTTCAGGCCGGGGGGCAGGGGGCCTCTAGATCTAACTGGACAAGACAGAGGAATAAACAAACCATGACCCTCAGGCCTGTTTTGACACAGCCTACAAGCTGAGGGTGGTTTTGACATTTTAAGATGGTTGAGAAAAAATCAAAAGAAGTATAATGCTTCGGGACATGTGAAAATTCTATGCAATTCAAATTTGTGCGGAGGTATAATGTCTTATTGGGCCACAGTGATGCTGATTTGTTCACATGCTTTTTTCAGGCAACAGCTGCAGAGTGTGTTGTGGTGAGAGGGGTCCCAGGGTCCATGACACCTGAACCATTTACTGTCTGGTCCTTTATAGAAAAAGTTTGCTGACTGCTGTTCCAGAGATGGGAGTTTACCCCATGGTTAATGAGATTTCTCAAGAGAATTTTTTAAAGGCCCTAACTTTATGTAAAAAAACAGGATGAGCAAGAGGACTACATTTAATAATTAAAAGTCATCACTAACAGGGTGAGAAGCAAGCTGCAGAACAGGAGACGTAACAAAAGGCTCACACCTTCATATGTAAAGAGCACTAGCAAATCAAGAAAAAGAGATCATCCAAGCAAAACACAGGACAGGGACCTGAAGGAGCATTTCACAAAGGAGGGCATCCAAGTGCCAGTACATGTATGAAATGTGCTCAGCCTCGTTAACCCCCAGGACACAGAAGGTAGAAGTGGGAGATACTGCTGCACTCTCACTAATGTGGCTAAAACACAAGAAACCAGCAAAGATGTGGGGCATGCCCTGCCCGTGAGAGTGTGGACGGTACACCCACTGTGGAGAACTGGCTGTTCCAGCACCAACTGGGTGGACTGCAACACCACTCTGTCCCCACAAGTTAAAGGGCACAGTTCCCACTTCAGACACCAGTCACACTGCATTTCTGGCTACAAATTCTGGGGTTCACATTACCTCCTAGATATTTGCTGCGACCACTCAGGAAAGCTCCCTAATTAGGATCATAGTTTCATTATAAAGGATATGGAACAGGGCCCATTGAAAGAAGAGAACCACAGTCAGGGTCTGGGAGGAGCCCCGACACTGGGCTGGGATGAGTCTCAAGTTTGAGAACCACTGCTCTGGCCGGCCCAAAGCCTTCCAGTGGGCTTTAAAGGCTAAGAAATACCGCAACTTGCTTACTTTCTAAAACAAACAAACAAAATACCCCAGGACAGGGTAATGAGAAATATGTTTCCGTGCTGAGTGGGCAGAAAAGAAAAACTGCGTATAGTTTAGATTTTATAGTGTCCCTGCTTCTGCCCTAAACCTAGCATATTGACTATCACGTCCCGAAGCCTCACATTTGGAGAATGAAAATAATTTTGGTGGAGGCTGTGATACTTGGTGGAGTTTAAATTCAGCAAAACTTTAAAAGAAACTTAAGTAACTACCTGCCACCCCTACCCAAAAAGCACCAGAGGGCATGGGGAGGGGGTGGCAGTGTTCTATTTCTTGACCTGGGTAGTGATCACACTAAAGTTTGACTTGTGATAACTCAATGATGTAAACAGAGTTGTATCTGTTACACATAGATTTACAGGTTATACATTTACACGTGTATTTATAGACACACAGACACATCTCACCACACACATGCGTGTTTCATGCATTCTATGCATGTGACGTCTCTCAATAAGTGAGTTATAAACACATGTGTTATACTTAAAGATTCAAGGAAAAAGTCCTGTAAGTGGTAAGATCCAGTTAGCTCCACATCGGGGGCCGCACGCCAGCTCTCATGCTACGGGGGACGTGGCTGTGCCCCTCGGGCGTGTTTCCATGGGCGCCCGAGCCGCTCACCTGCTGGTGTAGCCGGTGACGGGGTTCCAGCGCTGGTTCTCATAGATGTAGACGCACTTGACGTCCGACTGTGTGTAGATGTTGCCGGTGCTGCTGGCCAGGCCTGCGGGGAGAGGAGGCTGCCAGACCCGCCCCTGCCCTCCGGGCACTCGGGCTTCTGCATGAAGCACCCCGGGACCCGGAGAGTGGATGGGGAGGGTGGGTTTATCTCACAGGGCCTGGCCAGCTTGGGTTTCTCTTCTCTGGGATTATCCCGGGGTTGCACAACCTGGATGGACGAGCCTGTGGTGCACTGAACCCCCAGCTCCGTGCTCGGCGGCACCTCCTCCCCCATTCCCATCCCACTTACCTGGTGGTGGGCAGATGAGAGGCCCACCCAGTCACTCCTGACTAATAAAGTTGCCTTGGACCACTCACATCACCCCTCTAAGCCCCACTTTCCTCATTTGGGAGATGGAGACTAAAGGTAATTCCTGCCTCACAAACGGAAGCTGTTAAGCCACCACAGACATGCGTTCCTGTGGTCTTAGTGGACCACAGTTCTACAGGGTTAGCCCCCCTCATTGTGGGGCGTGTGAGCTGTGACATGGAATGTCCCACTTCAGCATTTGATTCTGCCTCCATTTACCAATAGTAGGCACAGGGACCCTGCCTCTTAGAACTCAGGGAGTCCACCTGGGTTCAGCAAGCTCTTGGCCCCTAAGGCACGACCCATCTAAAGGGGGGCTGGAATTCAGGCCTGGGAATCAGGAGACTGGGGTCCTACAGCTTCCCCAACTTCCCCTGAGACCTCGTCTGTGAAATGAGCGCCCTGGAAGCTATCTTTCTAGAATCCTCAGGGCATCTGGCACAGCTGTTGGGTGCCCAGAAGGTAGATCAGAAGCGAGGCCTGGTCTCTCGGTTCTCACACCTTGTGAGCTGGCCCCAGGACTTTGAAGGCTGGCAGTGGTGAAGGTCACCTGTCAGGCAGCTGTCAGCTGAGCGTCAACACTGCGGTGGCGACTCTGGCATGGGGCAGGGAAGCCAGCCGGGGTTGAGGGGGACAGCCCGGGAGGCGTGGCTCGGGGAGCGGGTCCTGCCACCCTCACCTTGGAAGCAGCCTCCGCCGTAGCCGCCCGTGTACACCCAGGCCGTGTGGTCGTAGCCAATGCCCCACACCACGCCCCGGCTGTTGGCCTCCACCAGCCGCAGGTGACCGCCCATCTGTCGCCAGAACCTGGAGGAGAAAGGAGGGTGGGGAGAAACGCATCTAGCAGGACTTTCCAGCCTTCTACCCCGCTTTGCCCCATCGCCTCCCAGGGACCTCTGTTTCACTCATCTTCAGCCTCCAAATGATAGACTTTATTAAGGACAAGGGAACCTGCTTGGCTTTCCATCAGGTATTAATCAGCGAAGGCAGCTGAGAGCCACGCAGGAGATGGTCAGGCCCCTGCGGGCGAGGCTTCAGGAGCCCCTGACCCCTGGAGCTGGGTGGACAGGGTCCAGGTCAGTGGTTCAAGTTTCACCCTGCCCTCTGGGGCCAGGGTCGGCCGGTCATGGTAGAGCAGAATGAGCCCCTCCATGGGCCGGCAGACGGCAAGGATGTCAGTGACAGGCTGTGCGGTGACAGCATGGCCTCCTGGGTCACCCTCTTGCAGGCGGAGGCCCTGCAACTGCCCCCAAAGGCGACTTGTCCAACTAGGCACCGGGCACACAGGGCCGCCAAAAGCAGATAAAGGTCAGATATCCACCCTCCCTCCCTCCTGGCCTTCCCTATGTCCCTCTGGTCCTCATGGGCTCTGGGGACAGTGTCAGGACAGAATCAGGAAGCCTGAGTCCTCTGCTGGGTCCCCTTCCACTTCCCCAACCAAAATGCCAGGCACCCCAGGACTCTGCTCACACTGCCCCCGACAGGTGGCCCCACTCCATCTCGTGATTTTAAATGCTGCCTGCAGGGCCACGCCTGCCTCACCCCTCAGCACACAGTGAGGGTCCGTGTGCCCTCTGGGGACCCTTGCACAGGCCCAGGAAGACTCGAGGCCTGGGAACCAGCCAGCCAGTGGGAACCCAGCTCGGGCGGGGTGGCCAGGCCCCAGCCCCATAGGGAATGCAGCCCACTCACATCTGGTCGCAGGGCAGCAGGCGCTCGGGGGCCTCCAGGTCCGGGCTGGGCTCGCTCACGAAGATGTCCCCCTTGCAGGTGACGGACCAGATGGCCTGCGGGGAGGGGCGGCCGTGGACCCTCCGGCTCTCGCAGCAGGACAGGTTGAGCAGGGCAAGCTGACAGGGGCACGGGCTGGTCAGCGCTGGGAAGGGGGCGGCCGGCAGCCCAGCTGGGCGGCTCCCTGACCCCGGGCTGCGGGACCCCGTCCACTTACCCAGTCGCTCATGTCCTGCTCGGTGGTGGCGGCCAGGCGCACAGGCCACCTCTGCCGCGTCCTCTCGGGGGTGTACAGGGCGAAGGAGTGCTTGGCCTCGTGCAGCACGGGGACCAGCGCCGTGACCTCGTTGAGGAACACGTGGACATACTGTTCACAGAGGCCAGGGGCACGGCTGTCACAGGCAGAGCAGGGGCCTGCGGGGCTGGGGGCACTGTGGGCCTCTGGGCAGAGCCCCCGCGTGGTGGATGGACAGGGCCGTCCGGGGACTCCCGATTCCAGAGGCGGTCTCAGGGCCCCCCGAGGTTTGGTGGTCAGTGGGCAGGTTCCAGTGTGGAGGCCTCATTCGTGAGCAAAAGCCTTAGAGATGTTTTTGATGTTGACAAGGGCACTTAGAACCAGATGGACTGGGTTCAAGCCCCAGCCCCAGAGGGGTGGGTAGCTCAGCCTCCCTGAGCCTGATTTCTCCTCTGGAACGCGAAGGCCTGTCAGCAGCTGGGAGTGAAGCTGGCACACACCTGCCCGCCATGGACCAGCCCGGGATGCCGCTACCATGGGCCAGCGCTCTGCAGACGCCGCACACGGTCCTGGGCCGAGCACCTTGGGGCCAGTGTCTCAGGGCCGTCCCTGCACCCCCTCCCGTGGGCTCCCCTTCCCCAGACCTCCCACTGCTGCTCCTCCCCCTATGGCGTCCCCCCACCTTCTTCTCCTCATGGACCACGTAGTAGATGAAGAGGATGCTGTCCCGAGCCCCGTCGTGCCCCGTGAACTGCTCCAGGGCCACTCGGACGTCCACCCACTTGTGCGGTTTCCAGTCACACCACCACTGCAGGGCCCCCGTCTTCACCCACACCGACTGTGGCACAAACCCCAGGGGGCGAGGGGACAGAGTCACAACTGGGCCCCCAGATTCCGGCCCAGTTCCCAGCACCCCAGGGCCACCCTGGCCCCCAGTCCCTTCACTGCCTCACCGGGGGCTCCCTCTCGGCACTCCCAACTCCCCCTCTTCACCCTAAGGACACAAGTGATCCTATCAGACCCCTGACAGGTACTGAGCCTGGAGCTAGTGAATTCTCTGAATAACTTCCTGGTTCAATCTGCGGGATCGGTTCTGTTACCCTGTGCTGGGGATGGGGAAACTGAGGCCCAGGTAAGTTCTGGGCCTGGCCCAGGGTCACAGTGAGTCAGCAGCAAAGCTGGGACCCACTCCTGGCCTGCCAGTCTCCAGAGGCTCAATCCTGTGCCACTAGCCAAGATGTGGCCAGGTCCTCTGTGCCTGGGACACAGTGGTGCCTGAACTTGTAGGTTCTTGTAGATTTTTCTTCCTTGAATCTACAAGGGCCTCCAGGGATGGCTTTACATCCCAGACGGCCACACCGAGGGATGGATGCACCCCTCTTCTCTCTCCTACCCATCTCGGGGTGGGCGTCCAGCAGGCACTCAGTGAATGCCGGTGGGAAACAGCCCACCTGCTCCACGGCCTGCTCATAGTGTCGGAAGTTCTCCAGCTCGCGCTTGGTCCTTTCTGTGAGCTGCTGGAAGATCTGCTTCCGCCAGGCGGCGGTCTGGGCGGGCGTGATGGATAACGAGAGCGTCTGCACCGAGGGGGACAGGCCTGCGGGCCGGCCAGAGCCTCAGGGCCAGGCGCCTGGCCAGTGAGGCCTCCCTTTATTTTTTTTTAACCAGCTCTTTCTAAGAAAGCTACCACCTCTGTAAATCATCCCGTGAGCCCTCCCTCTCATCGTTCACCCTGATGGGAAAGCTGATGTCCCCTCGCCCCCTGCCCCAGTTCAGCCCAGAACACCACCACTGCTGGGACGGGGGAGGGGACTGGGCTGACGCTCCCTCTTCCGACGTCCCCGGCTGGTCTTGGAAGCCCCAGAGAGACTAGATGAGCACGGTGGGGGCATTGGCTGGGCTGGGGGCCTGTTCTGTCCCCCAGGGGTACCCTCTGGGGTGCTGGGCCGCCCTTACCCGACTGGACGGTGAACCACTTGACCACGGCGTGGGCCTCCACGGCACAGCCTCCTCCTGACACCCAGGCCCACAGTGGGGGGTAGTCGGCGCTGTAGGGCTCCTCCAAGCCCAGCGGGAGGAGGCCCAGCGAGGAGAGGTCTGGGGTCTCGGGAAAGCCGGGGGCCGAGTGGCTGGGTCCTTTCTTGGGCTCCTTCAGGTCGATGTTGGTCCAGGGCAGCTCAGCTGGGGCGGAGGCAGAGCCGGCGACCTCCACGCCACACTCCGCAGTCCCGCCGATGTCCGGGTCAGGCCCGGGTTTCTCGGCCTCTGAGCAGGCATCTGTGTCACTGGGCCCACAGGACTCGCCGCTGCCCCTCACCTCGTCGCCAAAGAAGCAGCCAGCGCTAGAAGGAGAGGGGCAGACCTGTGACTCCCTCACACATGCTGTGTGACCCCCTGGACAAGTCACAGCCTCTCTGTGCTACACACACACATACACACACACACACATGAAAACCTGCTCCCCAGGGAGCTGGAACCTCAGGAACTTTAAAAGGGCCTCTGGCCACACCTAGAATCAGTATGTCTTGGGTCAAAATCTGGCAGTATTATTATTATTATTTTTTTGTAAAATACACGTACCATTTAAAATCATAAAATGCAGTGGCATTAAGTAATATTCACAATGTTGGGCAACCACTACCGAGTTCCAGAAACTTCTCATCAGCCTAAACGGAAACCTTATACATGAGAGGTCACTCTCCATCCTCCTCTTTTCCTCTAACCCCCTGGCAACCACTAATTTGCTTTCTGTCTCCGTGGGGTCCACCATTTCTGAACATTTCCCATACACGGCATCATACAGCATGTGACCTTTGGTGACTGGCTGCTGTCACTCAGTGTGATGATGTCAAGGTTGATCTGTGTTGTAGACAATACTTCGTTCCTTTTTATTGGTAAGTAATATTCCATTGTATGACACACCACGTTTTATTCACCTATTCATCCACTGAAGGACACTTGAGTGGTTTCCACATTTTGGCTGCTGTGAAGGGCACTTCTATAAATATTCCTGTACCAATTTTGTTTGAACATCTGTTTTTGGTTCTCCTGGGTACTTGCCCAGGAGGGAAATGGCTAGGTCATCTAGTAACTCTATCCATAACTTCTTGAGGAACTGCCGGCCTATTTTCTAAAGTGGCTGGTCTTCCACCCCCACCAGCAGCGCAGGAGAGTTCCAGTGTCCCCACATCTTGTTAACACGCGCTACTGTCTTCCTTTCTGATTACATCAGTTGTGGGGCGGGAGGCGGTATCTCATTGTGGGTTTATTCGCATTTCCCTGATGACTCATGACCATGTTCATCGTTCGCATGCTGCTTTGGAGGAATGTCTGTTCAAGTCCTTTGCCTTCTTTGAGTCGTTTCTCTTTCTGTTGTTCGTTGTGAGGGCCCTTTTTCTAGTCTAGGTATTAGACCTTGTCCAACATGTGATTAGCCAATATTCTCTTCCATTCTGGGGATTGTCTTTTCATTTTCTTGATAGTGTCCTTTGTTGCACAGAAGTTCTTAAGGTTGATGAAGTCTGATTTATCTGTTTTTCCTTTAGTTTTCATGCCTTGGGTGTCATAAATAAGAAGCCATAGCCAAATCCAGGGTTGTGAAGTTTTGGCATCAGTGGTTTGTGAAGTTCTCAGCTGACTCCAATGTGCTGTTTGAGGACCACCAGCTGAAGAGCCTAAACCCTCAGGTAAGTGTGAGCAGACCCTGCCTGGCTGGCCTCCCAGCATCTCTGGGCTAACGGTGCAGCCAAGTGCTGACCACCAAGCTGGGGGAGCAGAGGGGTGTGGACCAGGGGCCGAGCAGAGTCCAGGCTGCGGACAGGAGTGTGGCCGGCTGGGGAGTGCAGTGCCAAGGGCCCCTGTGCCGTGGGACCGGGCAGGTGGGTACTGGGGGCGCCTTCTCCATCATGGAGCTAAAATACGCCCAGCTGAGATGCTAAGTCATCTGCTGTGTTCTAACAGCCAGCGGGCAGGGCCAGGACGCATCCACACTCCCCAGCCCCGGGGATCTCAAGGTGTCGTCCCCAGAACTGCAGCGGCAGTGTACCTAGGACCTTGCAAGAAATGCAAAATTTCAAGAAAGAAGCTCTGGGGTAGGGGGTGGAAATCCATAGGAATGAGGCCACCAGGTGATTCTGGGGCAGGTCCAAGTTTGAGGTCCCTGCTCCAGATGAGAGAGACCCTCCATCTTTCCAGCGTTCCTTTGACAGGGGCCTGAGCACCCTCCCTGCGGAGAAGCTCGTCCTCTCCCCGACCTCGAGGCCTCAGGACCAGCGGGCCAGCCCTGCTGAGGAACCGTCCCTGGTTCCCACATGGATGGACATCCCGGCCTCGCTCCCGCCTTGGGCCGAGAAGGACACTGGGTACTGGAAGGGAGGAGGCCGTGGCTCTCGTGGGTCAGGACCTGGTTTTCTCCTGCCTGGGACAAAGCCCAGTGTCCAGCTGAGAGGCCTTCCTGACACCGTCCACCGAGGCCGCCAGCAGCCCTCCCGGACCGACCCCATGGGGCCCCGCCACCTCGATCACCTGAGGAGGCTGGACGAGCTGCCAGAGTGCGAGCGGTCACACTCCCGGCCGGCGACGATGGCCTTCCACGTCTTCCCGCTGAGCTCGCTCTGGGTGACACCCTGACGGAAGTACAAGGCCCGGTCCTCCCAGCCGATGCCCCAGACCTGGAACAGAGAGGTGCTGTCAAAGAGGAGGCCAGAGCAGACTGGGGGGGCTCCCTTCCCTTTGGGGATGTTGGGGGAGGACGACGGTGGGGAGGGCACCCCAAGTCTGGAGGACAGGGCTGCCAATGCGGGCAGGGGTTCCCTGAGTGTGTGTGTGTTAGGGGCCGTGAGGTGGGCGCAGGACTGGCCACAGCACAAGCTCAGGAGAAGCAGGGGCCCCGTCCTGGCTCCTCGGCCTCAGGCAGACCCAGGACTCTGGGGATATGGGGTCCAGAGGAGGGGTGGGCACTGTCGGAACACGAGGTCCACCTATGTCCCCTTCTTCCATGTGGCCTTTGGTGGGCAGGAGCTGCTCCCCAAGTGAACTCAGAGCCTGGTCTTGGTCTTTTCAAAGATGCAAAATAACCTCCTCGATTCTGACCCCATATTCTATGGGAAAATTGGCCAAGTGGGCCTCCTGCCCTCTGCCTTTGGGCGCTGAGGACAGAAGGTGTGCCAGGCAGGGGAGGGGCCAGGGAGCAGCCCATTTGGGGCCTCAGCCTTGGGGTTGCCTGAAGGCGGAGCCGCAGCCCCAGGTGGCCTTGCCGGGAGGCCTGCGGTGTCTCCATCACTTGGTCCTGGCGGTCCAGCCTGAGTGCTCAGTCCTGTGAGCACCAGCTAGCGCCTGTCTCGCCCCTGACCTCGGCGGGCCCGGCTCATCACCGGGGTGGGTGACGGGGGACATGGGGGCACAGGAAAGGCCATCCTCCCACCCCAGGAAGAGCTTCTAGTGCAACGGGAAAGGTGTCACCCTCACACTTTGAGTCTTAAAAGTAGCCAAACCACATCACCTACAAGCCGGGGCTACGCTGTGGGACCACACATGGGATGCTTCAGAGACGCTGCAGCTACAGAGTTGGAAGATCTGTTTCATCCTCTACTCGGTGATTTGATTTCACCCAAATATTTCTTAAAAAGCTTGCCCGGCTCCAGGATGCATGTCCCTCCCCCAGCTCAGTGCTCACTGCCACTGCTCTGAGAATCCTCTGGAGAGGGACCAGGGCAGGTGGGGGCTGCGGGACTCAGGTGGAAGCAGCCCCCTGCGAGCCCTCCCATGATGGCATCACGAGCATCCCCAGTGGAGAGGGACAGCAAGCAGCAGCCAGGGCCCCAGATCTGACACTTGTGCTGCCGACCGGTCCCCAGGGGCCAGGGCTCAGAACCACGCACACACCTGGTCATTTAGCCCCACGTTCACCATCATCATTTCTCCAACCATCTCAATCCAGCTGGTGCCACAGGGGTTGTAAGAGTTGACGCCTCTTCGGAACCAAACCTGGGAAAGTCAGAAGAAACAAGCCTCCCTGGAGGACCGCTGGAACAGAAGGCTTTTTAAGGCTGGGGAAGAACGAATGATTTCGTCCCTTGGTTCACGCCACAAATGAGCACAGCACATCCTCCATCCGAGTCCCTCTTCCCCACACCCCTGCTGCGGCGTCCCCTGGGCTCGGCTCCATCCCACAGGGCTGAGGGTCACCTGCTCCCGGCCACACCTGTCCTGGTAGGTCCCGCCCATCCTCTGGCTCTGGGCACTGCCCCTGCAGAAGTCAAGGTGTCGGCTGTTTGACTGCACTGTGAGGGCAGGAGGCAGGAGCTTCCTGGGTGCTAGCTGGCAGGCAGCATCTCAAACCCAGACCCTGACCTGTGGGCTGACCGGTGACATCCCGCCCCCCATGAACCTGGGTGCAACCCCCACCTTAGCTCAGGCTGGACGCTTGGAAAAGACCGCTTTGTCCAATCAAGTCTGCCTCTATGTCAGATAATGGTCTCAAATGATATTATTGAGGAAAACCATTTTTCTAAATTCATTATTTGAAGAAATAACATATTTGGGATCTATTCTTAGTGCTTTAGGAAACAGTCCCTTTAAACCTAACTTTTTTCACATCAACTTGTAAAAATACTTAAAATCCAACCAAATTCCCCTCAAGCCCACCCATCTGGGGCTCCATTGCTCACCTGGCAGCCACCCCCCACCCCCGCCCCAGGCCCCGCTGCGTCCCCCAATGACTGCCCCTACCCATTCTGGGGGTGACCGGTTGCAGGAGGAAACACTCAACGCCCTTTCATAAAAATACCTAGAATGTCTACAACGTCTCCTTAACCCAAAGAAAATTTGCACGAATATTTGTCTGAAGACTAAGCGAATTGTTCATATACATCACATTCTCTGCTCATTTAATCTCTTGCTTTGTAAGAGGCTTAGAAGTTCTGGTCTCTGGGAAGTGGGGTGCTCAGGGACCCATGGAGGGGACAGTTGTCTGTATTTTCTCAGGCCAGCACGTGGCCTGAGACTTAGGGAACTTCAGCACTGGAGACAGACTCAGACGAGTGAGTGACCCACCCCCCTGGAAGCTGCGGGGTGCCCCTGACTTGGGGTCAGGAAGAGATCCTGGAAGCAACGTGAAGTCAGCTTATTTTACTGGACCTGCCTCTGATAAAGTAAGAATGACGAGCTCTGGCCAGGAGCAAGGGGGCCCATTCAGCTGGCTGAGGGTTTCAGAAAACTACTTTCTGATTACTTGAAATGTTATGGCCTATCCAGCGATAAAGTTGGTTGTTCTGCACTTGGTACAGGGACACACGCAGCGGGGGCACCAAACCCTTTGGAGATCACCAAGACATCAACAGCAAACGCACAGTGCTTGGCTGATTTTGGATTTGTTCTAAAGGTTAACCACACTCCTGAGAACAAAAAACCCCACAAACCCTCTACATTAAATGGAGCCCTCAGACCCAGCCCCCAGGGACCCCGCCTTACTTTCCGGTCCTTGGTGACAGCCCAGACCACACCGACTCCCACGGAGACGTGCATGATCCCGTTTTCAGACATGGGAGACTCCACGATGGACCAAGAACTTCCTGCTCGGCCCAGAAGAAAGCACAGGTGGCCCGTCACCGAGAGCTCGGGGAAGGAGCTGGGCGCCCCCCTGCCCCCACCTCTCCCAGCACCGGGTGCAGGGCTGCCCACCTTTAGGGTTGTTCCTGTTGATTCCTTCCCGGACCAGGGCCTGTCCCTCCCAGAGTGTCACCCACAGCAGGTCGTGGGGCCCACAGCTGATCTGAACCGCCTCCCCCGGGGTGTCCACCAGGGACCACGATGAGCCTTCGGGGTTGGGGTGGCTGACGTCCTCTCTGTACCACACCTGGGTGGCGGGAGAGACCCGAGGGAGGGTCAGGCAGGGTGATTCCAGAGCTCCGTGGCCAGATCAGCTGCCCAGGCTTGGCTGTATTAACATCAGCATGTGTACGGGCCAAGCGTGGAGTCTCCAGGGGACCGGCAACCAGGATGACCGGATCCTCCTGACCTCGCTCACCCTGCCCCCACTGCCGCCGGGATCCTCGAGTCAGATTAGATGACTCCCCACTCCTGCTGAAAAATGGGATCGTGACACCGACACCTGGACTTTGGCGGTCCTAGAGGAACAGACCTCATCTGTCCTCTGCTTGTCTTGTGGGAACTTCAGCCCCAGCCCGAGTGTCCTGCGCCCCCTAGTGGCAACACGCTCTCAGGACACCCATCTCTAAGGAAGCTGGAGACCCCTAAGGAAGCTGGAGACCCCTGGTGAAGTGAGAAAACCACACAGGTCCCTACACAGGAATGTCTAAAACGTCCATTTCTTAAGCTGAAGAGAGGGAGCATAATACAGTATTTATGGCTGAGCCATTTGCTCTTACTGTCCAAACTGTCTGGCTCATTTCATCTGGAGGGGACTAAACTTTGCTGTGCGGTCCTGGAGGGCTGGGGACCCCCTCCAGGGAGCTGTCTTCACGCTGGGGACCACAGCCCTCCAACCCCATCACCTTGTGTTTTTTTCTTTTTAAAATTCTTTATTAGTTAGTGAGATTTATTACTCATATTAATTTTATTTATAAACCTTAAATTCTATGCTATCTAAACAGACTGCCTTAACATTTGTGAATGGTGGGATAGGATCTCACTTACAATAAAAAAAAAACATGTTCAGTGATTTAGTTTGGACAGTATTTTCCAAGGGAAAAATAGAAAACAGAGTAGACTGGTGATAACCCTCCCTCATCACCACCATTGCTCACAAATGCATGTGCTATGGAGCTCCCCTGCCCCGCTGTGCACATGATGTTTTGCTGGGTGCTTCTTCAAACACCTGATTCAGTAAATCAATCAGCACCTGGATGACAGCAGCCTTCCCGCTCTGGCAGCCTCCCCTGTGCTACCTGCTCACCTGGGGGCCATCTGCCTGCCCAGCTCCTCCTGAGCCCAGGATCCTAGTCACACCTTTTATGGATGTCAGGAGTGATGCAGAGCAGGGGTGGCTCCCAGCCGGCACCACTTTCCAACCCGTTCTCCCCTCTTTTTGCAACCAGGTGACCCCTGGATCAGGGCGCTGGCTATCCCGGGCCAGCTCCCCACCACCCTTCACATGGCTCAGAGGCGACAACTGTGCGTGGATCTAAGCCCAGACCAAGCGGGACCAGGAGGTAAGCCTGATAAAAACCTGCGGTTGCTGTTCCAAAGCCAACCGGAGAATTTTGGTCAGTTTGCGTTAAGAGAACTGAATAGTCATCAAGTATACTCTACAGCCACAGCCAAAGTAAGGGTGGGGTCGCTAGCACACGGGACCACCCCTGTCACTGCTGCTGTCAGGGGTGGGTTGTATTCCTTTGCTTAGTTCACAGACTCCTTGAGAGAAGAATCCCCTCTCCTCTCTAAACATCTACCCCCCAAGCCCCCCACCCATCCTCCCATCCAAACAGCCAGCCATCCATCCATCCATCATCCATCATACACCCATTCACCCACTCACCCATCCATCCACCCCTACCCACCCCCAAACCGTCAATCACCATCTGCTCACCCATCCACAATACTACTAGAGACTGCTGTGTAGGAGGTACCACAAGGGCGCTGGCAGGGAGCTGAGAATCTGTCTCAGGAGACAATACTCATGGTATCTGAGCTCAGGGTGGGCCCTGATCAGTGCTCCGGGGCTCAGAGGAGGGACAGGCGGGGACCAGGAATGGGTGGAAGGTCAAAGTCTCCTGGGAGGAGCAGGACCCAGAAGGTCCACAGGACAGCAGGATCCACAGGAGTGGGGACTCTGGGGACCCCAGGTACAGGCTGCCTGCTCAGGGTATCCCCAGCTGTGGGGACAGGAGGTGAGAAGGTCTCGAGGGCAGCCCTCCTCCTCCCCCCACCTCTGGGAGGACACTGGCAGACCAGCCTCCTCACCTCTGGTCCAGGGCACCAGGGGGCACAGGCCTCACCTTTCCCTGCAGTGACACGGCCCACACAGACAGGCGGCCTACGGGCTCGTCAATGATCTCCCAGCCCCCCACAGAGATGTCGTTGAAGGGATCAGGCAGTTGCTGGGGGTCATCCTCAGCCGGAATCTGAAATTAGGTGGCAGGAAGTAGCAGTCAGCATCTGTGGGCACCTGGGACAGGAGGCAGCAGTCCTCCCCTCCTGCTGGACCTGGGGACATGCCGCACACCGCCCGTCCGCTTTCCCTCCAGCGTGCCTGCTCCCCACTCCCCCAGCACGCCGCCTTCCGTCCTCCAGCCTGGCCCCAGCTGACTTCCCAGAGAAGGCAGCATCCTGACAGAGGGCTCCTGGCCCTGGGTCCCTTCTGCCCTGTCCTCCCTCTGTTGGCCACCAGGCTTGGGCTGCCATCCCCAGGAGGTCACTGCTGCCCCAGCATGGAAGGCAGATGCACACGCAGGGGCTCAGCTCTGTGCTTCGTGATGGCCTGACCGCTGTGACTCCATCCCACCTAGAAGGGGGCTGATCACAGAACACGGTCCCGCCAGGTTAGCCTTCCGTGACAACGGCCGTCTCCGGGCCCTCTGGCAGCTCCCAGCCCAAGAGGCCAGCAGGCTGGGCTGGCAGCCCCACCTCTGGGCACAGACCCTGCAGAGAGGCCGGGTGAGGGCCTGAGGCCTTCCTCTCATTCAAGGTCCCGTAGGACCCCAGTCCAGACCTTGTGTCCCTAAGTTGGTTTTTCTAGGTCACTTGAAAAATACAAGAGTGGCTCCTGCGGGGGAAAGGGGAGGCATCACAGCACAGACTGAGCCTCCGCCTGGGACAGGGTGGCCCGGAGACCAGGTCAAGACAAGTTCTGTGCTGTCCTGGGCCACAGCCTGGGCCGGCTCCCTGTGCGGCCATCTCCCAAACGAAGGAACACGCAGGACTGCAGCCATCCCAATGGGGAAGAGTCAAAGGCCAGGTCCCAGGGTGGGCCTGGTGCGCCGGGCACAGGCGGGGAGAGTGGGACTGCCCTCTGGCCCTGCTCCGCCCCGGGCCACACAGGCTCCCAGACCTTGGCCCAGGCGTCCCGGGACTTGTATCTCCTGTACCGGATCCACCTCCGCCGCCGGACACAAGAATTCCACTTCTTGTCTCTCGTGTAGGTGGCGGGGAAGTCGATGGCATATGTCCACCCCTGAAATACCAAGGTGGGGAGGGCGACCGTGTCAGGCTGTTGAGGAAGAAGTGAAAGAGCCAGGGGAGCGGGGAGCAGGACGGAAGGGGAGCAGGGAACAGCATGGCCCGAAGCATCACCCGCACAGATCCCAAGCAGGGAGTGCAGGGTGCTGGGGACAGCCCTGGGGGGACTGGCTGAGCCAAAAGCGCCCCCTCCCCGCGAGGGAGCCACGGCGGGAACTGAGCTCACCTACCCCTTTCTCGGTGGGCTCCCCTCCAAAATTCTCATCCACGTACCAGTCCGACTCCCACTCCCAATGCGGCGAGGGCAGCGCCACCCCGTCCAGCGCCCGGTGCTGGAGCCCACTCACGTCGCTCCACGGCCAGCGGTCACTCGGCAGGAGCGTCTCACAGAAGCCGCCCACAGGGTTCCAGCGCTGGTGGTCGGGGCAGAGACCAGCCTTAGGCCCAGAGCATCAGAAGGGCAGAGGACCTGCCACCAGCCACAGTGCCCCGAGCAGCAGAGGGCACAGCCGACCTGGGCCCCTGGAACCTGCCTGGAGCCCATCCCGTGCAGACCTGGCCAGCTGCCTGGATGAGGACACAACAGGGGCTTGGGCCCCAGCAATCCTGGGTGCTACACCACTTGAATCTTCCAAGGAATGGAAGAAACGAACGCGGGTATGGGCTGGGAGCTGGGGATGCAGGGGCGCGGTGTCCCAGCAAACCCAGATGCTCGCTGGCTCGTGACCCCACCTGATTCTCATAGGCCTCCTCCCGGCGGCGGATGGGGACGTCGCTGGCGCACACGTACACGTAGACCTGGTTGTCGCAGGCAATGCCCCAACAGCACTGGGTGGCTGCGCTGACCCGCTTGAACTCCAGCTGGGCGTCCCTGCACAGCTCCCAGGACTGCCCGGCTGTGGAGAGCGTGAACACCCTCCCGAACAGGTCCACCGCCCACAGCACCGAGCTGGGCATGGCCGCGGGGGCTGCGGGAAGACAGCAGCAGGAGGGCGAGGGTCAGCGGGCCTGGTCTAGGCTCCCAGCCCCAGGGACACCCAGGCCAGGCAGGGCCTGAGAACCCCGGCCTTGACTGTCTCCTGCTGCAAGAGGCAAAACTCTGTCCAGACGACAGGCTGAGTGGCCCCAGCAAAGCAGGGACAGAGCCCAGCTCCCCATTCTCAGCCTTTTCCTGTTCTTCGCTTTCCCTTCCCTCAATTATGGGGATTTCTTCAAACATACAAAAAAGTACAGAGAAAAAGACGTAATATCCTAAAATCCACAGTCCCCAATTTAATGAATGTTGTGATTCGGTCATATTTTGTTCAGCTCTTTCTTGCCAAAAGAATCAATGGAAAGTTATGGATTTGGTTGAATCCCCAACACGCACATCCTGCTGCCAGGGACCCCCCTCATGCTGGTCCCATGTGACCTCCCTCTATGGGTTTGGTGGGCTGGTCCTGCGGGAGAGCCAAGGCGGTGCGCGTGGCGGGGATGTGAGGGGTCTGTCTTCACCCTCCTTGTTTGACCACCTGCCTCTCTTCCCCCACCCCTCTTTCTCTGCCATTCTCCTCTCAGGTTCCCTTTTCCCTCTTCCTTTCTGCTTTGGGGGGGAGGGGGCTCTATCAATGCCCCCCCTGGGGGGCTGATGGTGCAGCTGCTCCCTGGGGCATACCTCCGTGGGGGCTCTGGTGGTGGAGGGGAGGGGGAACAAGTGGCCAGACCACAGCAGTAAAACAGAGCAGCTGGATGAGGGCAGGGGGTTGGGGGGGTGAGGGGAGGGAGGGGGGATCACAGCGAGTAGCTCAGTCTGACAGGGCAGTTCCTGCATCCAAGACTGATCACTGCCCCAAGGGGAGGACACGGCCAGTCTGCTTTGGAAGCCAGAGCCACCAGGAGACAGACAGTCTGGATGCCTCGAGGCTGGGGCCAGGCTGTTCTGCTCCTGAGACCCGCTGGGGCACAAGGACACTTCAGAAAGCGTGACAACATGGATGACAACACGGATGGAACTCATCTGAAAAGAGGAGCATCTGCTACAAGCAACTAGGTTCTTTTAGAACAAAGTGTGTCTGACAAACCCCAAGAAGGAGTGCGGGTGGGAGAGGAAGTGACTTAAGCACGAGGAACAGGAAGCAGGGAAGTGAACGAAGTGACAAGCTTTGGGAAACACGCAGGACAGGAAGTGCACAAAGAGGACAGGTTGGGGGGAAAGGGGGGGAGCCTCACCAGGATTGGAGAAGCTTGACCTCTCCACCCAGGGCACCACCACCAGGACAAACACATGGGGACTTAGGACATTAGCCTTCTAAAGCCATTTGAAAATTGACACCTGAGTTCAGGTGCCTGAGCTGGGACCCCTGGGAGAGCTGTGGCAATCCCCAGATGCCCCTCCACTCCTCCTTGGTCAGGCCTGAGGTTCCGCTCTCCCCCTGCAGCGTCTGTACTGCGCCAGACCATGGCAACCTGATTCCTGACTCCACCACTTCCTAGCACTGCACCACCCAAAGCCTAAGGGCTAACCTCGCTGTGCCTCGATTTCCTAATCTGTATAAGGCAGAAAGGAATACCGAACGACTTATGTAGTTGTGAGAAATGAATGAGATAATACAGGTACAGAGTTATAATAAAGTGCTCAGTGCCCAGGAAGACCCCGTGCATGTCACTGAAGTCATTTTATTACATGGCATTTGCCATCACAAACTGCCACTTAGCTTCTGTCTCTTAAAAACAAAAAAGTCAAATCCCTTCTTGGTCTATCTGAGTCTTCAGCCTCTCCATTCCCTCTGTACTTCCCAGTGCTCTGCACATAGTAGGTGTTCATTCAGAGTCACAGAAAATCATCACCACCTACAGGTACCACATAGCCAACTCCCTAAGCTAAGACAGAACTGCAGCTCCAAAGAAGCCAAATATCATCCATGACTTAAGCTTGAAAGTAAGGTCTTAACAGGTAGACAGGTATGTGATAGAGCAAGCACTGTGAACTGTCAATAGTAGAAACTAAGTGGAGGATGTGTGGGTGTTTGGAGTGGGGGAGAAGGGGATGTCGGTTACCATGATGAAATTTGTAATGTAAATCCAGTCTTCAAAGATATTTCTCGGCTCACAGGTCACTGTGTAAGTAGCCAGTTAAGTCAGGCTCAGCCTGCAGGTTGAGCTCAATGAATGGGATATTAACTCGTATTGGATACACTTTCCTTCAGAGAAATGACTAAGCAGTAATTTCCACATAGACATAATTGAGCCTCCTGGCAGCTAACAGAAGACTCTACTGCAGGGAATGGATGGGGTAGGGGTTTTGTTTGCAAACTCCCCTTGGAATGGAGACCCAGTCACCCATGAGTTCCCAGCTAAAGATGACACGAGATGAACACCCTTGGTCGGACCCACCTCCTTTCCACCCCTGCTGGGATGTGGTCCTAACTTCTCACATGCCACTTCCTGTCTGGGAGGTGATCGGGTAACCTGTCCAGAGTCACTGGGTCAGAGGACTCTCGAAAGGGAGGTTAGAGTTTAAGTCCCAGAATTCTGGGATCCTGAGATTTCTTTGTTTTGCAGGAGTGAAGGGATGGAGGCAACATCTTCCAAGAAAGCAGCCTCCAATTCACCAACAACTTCTGCACAATGAATTCCAGCTGGACCTTCTGACATTTCGCTCAGAAGGCCTGCTCACCACCCTCAGAGCCATCTGTCTTTCTGTTGGGTATGTTAACAGATCCCTTCAGAGACAAAAAGGTGCCTAAGGGAAGGTGGGGGTGGAGGGAGTAGGGTGTGGTGTGGTAGAGGGAGGGACATGGTCCCAAGGGAACATCTGTAGTATTTACTTCCCAGTCTGCCTCAGGAGTCCTTCCTGCAAGGCTTCTGGCTGGTTTGCTTTCCTGTCACACCCTGTCACTCCCACCTTCTGTGAATACAGAAAACCCTAGCTACTAAAATGGCTCACTGCCTGCCAAATGTGGGGGCGGTTGGACTGCGACAACAGGGTACAAAGAGGTGGGAGAAAACAACAGGACACGCATGGTGGTTGAGTCCTTCCTGAAAAGCAGGGGGTGCCCTGAGCCAGCAGCTCTGATCATGAACCCCTGACCTCCATCATTTCGGCTGGTCAGCCTGGTTTCATTCTGGTTCACTTGGGCGACAGGTGGGCCCCCTGCTCTGCCACCGGTAGCATCTCAGCACCGGGCCCTGACCATCTGCCCAAGCTAATCCCACGACAAGCAGATTTGCTCTCACCACTGCCCAGAGGAGGGACAGACGCCCTCCTCGCAGCTCGATCCTTTAAATCTGCCAGGCTTCAGCGACCCGAGTCACTTCTGAAGTCACTCCAGCGCAAAGGCTGGTGGGGGTGTCACCTGTCTGCTGCGCTGGCGGGGAGGGGTGTGGGGGGGATAAATGGGGGCGGGGGCAGCGCCGCCGGGTGTGCAGGAAGCACAGCG